CCAAGAGCTACTTTCTATCTTCGGCCAAGTATGCCAATGAGGTTATTCATCGTGCTGGTCTTACTGACACTAAGATTTCTGATACCTTAATTGAACTTAATATAAAGCTCAACACTACTGATGGTGTTCTTCTGGATGATCCTACTTTATATCGAGAGCTCGTGGGTTGTTTAGTCTATCTGATGGTTACTCGTCCTGATCTTGCCTATGCTATTCATGTGGTTAGCCTGCTTGTCTCTGCTCCTCGCTCCATGCATTGGGCTGCATTGGTTCGGATTCTTCGCTATCTCTGAGGTACTATATTTTAGGGTTTACTATTGTCCTCTACTTTCTCTTTAGATTTGGTGGCCTATGCTGATTCTGATTGGGCTGGTGATGTTACTGATCGCAAGTTCATGTCTGGTTTCTATATGTTTCTTAGCGCTTCCTTGATCTCTTGGAAAAGCAAGAAATAAACTGTTATTGCTCGCTCTACTGCCGAAGCTGAGTATCGTGCTATGGCTCATGCTACTGCTGAAGTTGTCTGGCTTCATTGTCTTATCTCTGACTTGGGCGTCCCTCAGTCTTCTCTGACCTCCCTCTATTGTGACAACTATAATGCTATTTAGATTGCACATAACACCGTCTTCCATGAGTGGACCATGTACATTGAGATTGATTGTCACTTTGCTCGTCAGTATCTACAGTCTGGCTTTATCTCGGTTCTTTTTATCTCTTTGGCTCTGCAACTTGCTGACTTCTTTACCAAGACTCACACCATGGCCCGGTTTCAATTTCTTCTTGGCAAACTCTTAGTGTTTTCTGCTAAAACACCTTGAGTTTGAGCGGAGGTGTGAAAATATTGTGTATATATGTATATATGGTAGTGTAGTGTGTATATATTCTGAGAGATTGTGAGAGATTGGGTGAATATTTTCATTTCCTTTTTAGTCTTAGGGTTAGGAGTACTATATAATAAGATGTATCCTTTGTATTTTGACACAATTGAATATATAGTTCTTATTCATAAATCATACAACCCCTCCCTCTTGAAGTGAAGAGAAGAAACCCTAGAAACCTATGATGCACCGTCACTTCAAAATAGGTGCCGTAGCGGTGTTGGACGTGGTGACACAACAGGGATAAAAGAACACGTACAGGTATGCCAGTTGACATGTCCCTTTATTTAATTATTTTTTTAGTGTTTTTGATGGATGTTAGATGTTGAATGTTTATTACTTTTTACTTAGATTTAAATAATTATTAGATCATCCATAAAAAAGACGTAAAAGATAAGAGTTAAATTAAGTGCAAATTTTTTTAAATATTAAATTAGTGCTAGTTTTTGTTGATTTTGTGTTTGTTGATGTAAATATTAATCTAGATGGCAAATAAAAATATAAAACAACTTATTGCCCTATTACCACCATGTCCGTGTCTCTATTTTTTTGAAATCACCATGTCCCATGTCCCATGTCAGTGTATCTTAGTTAGAAACGAAATGATGATAAAACCCAATTCTATTTGGATAGATTTGAAGTTCTTGATGAGTAGAACAACTTTAAAGCTTCAACTCTTGGATGATCTCACTCTTTGGCCTTCAAATCTTGGGATATATAGGAGGGTTTGAGAGGATAAATATATAAAGAGAGCATATAGAGAGAGTGGAAGAGAAAAATTTGATAGGTTTAAGGTTCTCTTGAATTTGAAGTGAATATTTATAGAGGTGTGTCAAAATTACTGTTTTTTATAGAAAATTCCCGAATTCTATAGGTATCTTCTCTTAGGGGAACCAGTCTAGTGTTTCACGCGAAATTACCTATTGATCTTCGCTCGGACGAAGCCTTTCGTTTGCTTGACACAAATCTAGAAAGACTTCACGGGTCAATTTCAAATGGACACATCTCCTTTCTCCAAACTCGGAATTGGGAAAAAATTGTCTAAATTAATGCCTAAAAAAGTCTAGTTTCTAATGGTGATGGCATCACATCAACATTCCAACTATAAAAGGAGATATGGTCAAAATAGTGCAAGGTGGTTTGATTACACCTTCCAAATCTTTGAGGATTTGATCTATATTAAGCAGGAACAACCCTAGGTCAAAATTTAACTCATCTAAGTCCAAAATAGTCAACTCTAAAGTGACAAAAAGTTTAAATTTGCAGGAACTGCAAACATGGCACAACTCAAGTATACTCAAATAGATTCAAAATTTTGGATCGTTATAGTTTGGTTTTATTGGCTCCTCTCTGATTTAGTTGTTTTCTTGTCGTCTCTTACTCTCTAATTTGAAAATAAAAGTGCAATCCAGATCGCTTATAACTTTATCTTTCTTGAGCGCACTATGCACATGGAGATTGATTGTCCTTTTGTTCATTGATATCTTTAGTTGGGTGGCAATGCATTGTTTGTTGTCTCATCTTCCTTGCACTATGTGAACGTCTTCATCAAGACTCACTTTTGATTTGACAAACTTTCAGTACTCACTGGGCTTGCATCATGGGTTTTCAATGCATTGGTTGGTTTATGTTTACTATATATGGGTATTTTAGTCTTTGGTGTTTATTAGAGTGTTTTATTCTCTCGTCTTTTATATAAACAACATAAATAGTTTGGTTTTGAGGTTAATGGTGTGAATGTTGTAATAGTACAAGGGTAGTTTTGTATGCATTTGTTTCCTATAAGGGTAGTTTCGTATTTTGTATTCTAATTAGGTTTTGCTCTTCACAACTATATTAGCACATGTAATTTATGATTATTGTTTGATGCAAGAACTATCCATCTGAAGGGGTATCGATGCCATGATCCGGTTTCTAAGAAGTTATATGTTTCCCATCATGTGATTTTTCTTGAGCGTCTCCCTAACTTTTCTCTCCCTCCCAAGACTGTTCCCGTCTCTAAGGAAGATTTGATTAATACTAATTTGTTTCCTGTTGTTGTTTCGGATGATGACTATACCTGTATGATTGAAGTTTTCGAGATTCTCTCTTCCCCTGCTCCTTCTTCAGGTATCGAGCTTCCCTCTTCTCTAGCTCCTCCTTTCAGTATCTAGTCTTTTGCTTTGCTCTATTATCTTAAGAAGGCTCCTTCTCCCCCTTGTGTCCATTAGTTCGTTTACTCCTACCCCTACTCATGTGGATCATACTTCAATGTCCATTACCTTTGTTGCTCCTCCCATTGCTTCCGTAGATCCTGCTCCTAAATGGCATTATCCTCTTTGTGATCATAAACCACTAGTAAGACTTAACTTTGCTAATACTTGAATTTCTATTTTCTATCAGGCTTTTGTTATCTATTCTCCATGGTTACTTTGAGCCTTAGTCTTACAAGGATGCTTGTACTGACCCTAGCTAGGTACATGCTATTCAAGATGAATTAGCTGTTTTTGAAAAGACTTGTACTTGGGATTTGGTTCCTCTGCATGCTGGTAAACATCAGGTAGGGTGTAAGTGGTTTCATAAAGTGGAAAGCCACTTTGATGGTTCTTTGGAACATTACAAGGCTCGCTTGGTTGCCAAGGATTTTTCTCAGAAGTATAAGATTGATTATGAGGAGAAGTTTGCTCTTATTGCTCAGGTGATAACTGATTTTTCCTTAATTTTGTTGTTGTGGTTTGTTAGTCTCTTTCAGCTCGATGTTAAGAATGCCTTCTTCAATGGTCAGTTTAATGAGGAAGTTTATATGAGTTTGCCTCATGGCTTGTCTCATCCCTCTACAGTATGTTTGTCGCCTGTGTTGTGCTCTCTATGGTTTCAAGCAATCTTCTTGTACTTGGTATAAGCGCTTTTAATCCACAATCACTCGAATCGGTTTCCACTTCAGTGCTCATGATTCTGCTCTTTTTCTTCATACTTTTTTGTTGGAATGGTTGTTCTATTGCTTTATGTGGATACATGATTGTTATTGGGTTTGATTCTTCTACTATTTCTCAGGTGAAACAATATTTGTTTTAAACTTTGAGATGAAGAATCTTGGTCTTTTGTGTTATTTTTTTGGTATTGAGGTTGCTTTCTATCCCAAGGGTTACTTCTTGTCTCAGTCCAGGTATGCTCGTGAGATTCTTTGTTGTACCCGTCTAATTGATAAGAAGGTTGTTGATAGTCCTATTGAATTGCATGCCAAGTTCTCTCCATTTGATGGGGTTCTTCTTGATGATCCTTGTGAGTATCATGAGTGGGTTGATTGCTTGGTCTATCTCATTATGACATGACTTGATATTGCCTATGTTGTCCATGCGGTTAACCAATTTGTTTTTGCTCCTTGCTCTACTCATTAGGAAGTTTTGCTTCACATTCTTTGCGATATATGTGACACTATCTTTCAGAGTTTATTGTTGTCGTGTTCTTCTCCATTGACTCTTTGCTCTTATGTTGATGTTGATTGGGCTGGTGATGATTCTGATCACAACTCTACCTTTGGTTTGTGTTTTTCTTGGTGACTTTCTTATCTCATGCGGTGTAGTAAGAAACAATCTGTTGTGGCTCAGTCAGCGGATGAGGCCGAATATCGTGCTATGGCTCATGAACTGTTAAAGATAGTATGGCTTCTTTGGCTTCTTTCTACTATGGGTGTCTATCTTCTCTCGTATGCCTCTCTACTGTGATAATAGGAGTGCTGTCCAGATTGCCCACAATTCTGTTTTCCATGAGCGTAAGCACATTGAAATTGATTGTCACTTTGTTCGTCAGCATTTTTAATTGGGGATTATTGCTCTTCCTTTTGTTTCTTCCTCCTTGTAGTTCACCGACTTCTTCACCAGGACTCAGACTTCTGCTTGTTTTTGGTTTGCCGACTTCTTGTTTTATGTGTATTTGTTTCGTATAAGGGTAGTTTTGTATTTTGTATTCTAATTAAGGTTAGCTCTTGACAACTGTATTAGCGCATGTAATTTCTGATTATCGTTTGACACAATAACTATTCATCTTCTCTTACAAATGGAATAATACATATTTTCTCTCATATTGGCTAACATTTCTTGCATGCTAGTATGCTATATTTATGTCATGTATTTTGTTTTGCAGATCTGGTGTAAGGCACACCAATGTGATGTTGAGGGGAGCAGTTTTTCGGACATTTAGCATCAACTTTTTTACTTATGGTTTGCCGGTAGATATTTCAACTATAAATATTTTCATCTGTTTCTTTCATTAGTAACTGTTTCATTTCAAATCTGTAACCTGTCACTCCCAATATTTCAAGACACACCAATGTGATGTTGAGGGGAGCAGTTGATTTTTTGAATTGGATAATCTACTCAATAAGAAGAATAAGAAATATGAGAAGAAGAGGGATGGAAGGGTCAGGAGTAATGGCTGAAAATAGTGACAGTCCTAGAGTTCTTGCTCTGTTTATTATAATTTAAGTGCAACTCACAAGGGAGCTACACTACTGCCCCTAATTATATGCTAGTCTTGGCTATTGAATTGAGGTCACCACAATAAATTTGACAACCAAGTCTGATATCTACGTGCATCAAATAATGCACTCTTACTATTGATACCTAGTCTATAGTTTTGTTCTAAGACGCACATACACTTTCACAGTGGTGTGTTCGTTCAGACACCGTCAATTGTTTGGACAATTTCCAACATGTGTTGGACACATGTCCATACATATCCTATTATTTATTTATTTTTTTAAGACCTAGACTTGCTTTGGGCACTTGGGGGAAATATGTGTCCATTGCTTAGACTTAGACACATATGAACATATTACAAGTTTGAAGATCTAATTATGAAAGAAAAACAATGTATATTTATGTTGGATAGTTTAAAAACATTGTTGGGCTCATTTCTAAACAAATTTAACTTTTGGGACTAGTGGTAATCTAATATGGTATGAGAGCTTAGGTTAGAGGTCTTTTTGTTGAAGTCTTTCTGTTTGTATTTGTTTCTGATTTGCATTCTAGTTGTCTCTATGTATGTCCATTGCATCTCCACTTGCAAGATGTGGTTGAACGTAAGGAAGGGTGTTGGAAGACATTGTTGGGCTAATGTTTTAACAACTTATGCTTTTGGTTAGTGGTGATCTAACAATTTATGCTTATTAATCCCTCCTTTAAAATTTAGAAATTAATGTTTATTTATTTTATTATTAGTATTATCTTTGAATGAAATATTCAAATATATGGCATATAAGGAATATATAGAAGTATATATTTTGTGCATGTACCACATGTCGTGTTTTGCATTTTTTGAAAATTGACATATCAGCATGTTTGTGTCGTGTGTCTAGGTCTATGCTTCTTAGATTTTGTTTAGTTGGTGTGTTCACGGGCTTGCAACTGGACATCCCTATATCTTCAATAGATCAAGAAGATATTTCTTTATGAGATGTACATACCTTACCTAAACTTGGCCCTTAACACCTAATTGGTGTTTTGAATATTGAGGTCCTTTATTTCAAACTATGAGTCCTATAAGTCATTAAACCTTGCATCTCATCATTGTCTCCCTAACTTGTATCTCTATTTCTTGCTAGCAATGCTAAAGATCTTACATCATACTCTTAGATATTGCTTTATCAATATAAAACTTTTCCTGGCATACATTCCTTCCCTCTAATTGAAGGGAATAAAAACCCAGGGCAACAACCTGTTAGATCACCATTAGTTCCACAAGCTTAAGCTATTAGGGAAGTGGCCCAATAGTGTATATCATACATCCTCTTTGACATACATCTCTGTTTCGCACATGGAGATGTAAACATCCAACTGGGTAAAGAAACAAAATGCAAATGGGGAAACAAATGCAAAGGGAGACTTGCAAGGCTGGCCCTAAAAGTTCATAGGCCCAAAGAGAATACCTAATACGGAGGCCTTACATTTCTGCATATCACTCAAAAAGATAAAATCAACTTAAAAAAGTTATTACAAAAATTTAGAAGGATAAAATCTAGTTTTATTGTTTTATATTTTAACCATTTACACATGAAAAAAAAAATACTATACAAAAATTTAGAGTTATAACTTCAAAGAAAATTTAAACGAAGTATATCACTGTATCAGTTAAACATTACTGTTCTTGCATTTTTAGTTGTAAAATTGAACCAAGAGCTCCTAATTGAGATTCAGTTAATTCTTCTATAGTTTCAGGAAGTATGATTAAATAAACAATCCATTCAATGCATTCCATTATTCAACAAGCTACAATCAATTCAATTCTAGAGATTTTAGTTTTTAAGTAAGTCAACAAACAATTGAAGTAAAACTTGAAATGATACAAAATCTAAAGGCATCTAGAGAGAATATTAAGATCTAAGAAAGTAAAAACTCATAATGATGAATTAGGCTGGAGAGAAGTTTGGTAAAGTGAAATTGATTACTTTGGCTCCTTCACTAATAAAATTGTGTTGTTTTTGGGTTTGGTGTTATATGCTGGATTTAGTTAGGTTTTGGCAAGCTAAAATCAAAGTAATTAGGATCCTCCATTTATAAAAACAAATTTGTTTTTGAGTTTAGTATTCAAGGCTAGAGTTAGGTGAGCTTTGGTAAGTTAAAAATTAAAATAATTGGGGCCCTTCATTTAATTGATGTATAAAAAAAATCAATATTACAAGGATTTTTTCTAAACGGGGCCCCTAATTTTTAGCTCAAACCGAGGGGCCTAAAGAGACGGCTTTGTCGGGTTGTCCCCAAAGACTGCCTTGGAGACTAGAACCCAAAAGCTCTTCTAACCTAGCTTTGATACCATTGTTAGATCACTACTAGTCCCAAAAGCTTAAGCTATTAGGAAAGGAGCCTAACATAACCCTTCTAGTTCTTCACACAACAATAAATTATTTACTTATATTATACACACACACACACACACAACACACATTATCCTTATCAAATTATTCAAGAGGACCACCTGAGTTTGCTACTAGAGAGTAAAACTTAGAAGAGGAGTTCATTGTTTGCAATAGAAGTGTACCATATAATCCATATAAAGCTTGTCCTTGCATACAATCCTTCCCTCTCATTCGAGGGAATGGAAAACCAGAGGAATAACTACTTTGACTTTCTTCTCTAGGCCTCTATAAAGGAAGGCATTTTCTATATTAAATTAATCAAGAGGGAAACCTAAGTTTCTAGCAGAGTGTAGAACACGTAGGAGTTCATTTTTGCAATATGAGTGTACCAGATAATCAATCCCACTAGTTTGAGGGAAGTCCTTATACACCAATTTTTGGCTTCCATGGAACCAACAACTTCATATTGTACTGTAAACACCCTCTTATGTCCACACTATCTTCTTTCTACAGGGAAAGTTATAGGAGCAAAGTCCTTTGCCAAGTGAATTGAAAGGTCAAGATATGAACAATAGGATAATAAGCAATAGGATGAAGAGTTTCTCATTTTGGAGCAAGTTTCTTCTTGACAGGAGCAAGTTTCTCACTTAGGAGCGCTGTTGACACCATAATTTATTTTTCTCTTGGTTGTAGCCCGTCGATTATGGCCAAATCTAATTTAGTTGATTGTGGCCTGTCAATTATGATTTGTTGATTCAGACCATAAACCATCTTTAAATAGTAAAGTTGGCTAAATTTATTACTATTATTATTAATATCATCTTTATCAATTTTTTTATATTATTGTTATTAATATGATTGTTAGTTTTATGCAGAATGTGAAGGAATTAGGTGGGTGGTCAAACATGGGATATGGATGATGTTGAGGAAATCATGGGTTTAGTTACCCCTCTCTCTCATGTGGCTAAGCCTATAATATAGGCCAACAGAGATACAAAGAAAGGACACACAACTCAACTCACACAACGTGAATTCTAGGAGTAGTATCTATCTAGGAGTAGTCACTTAGCATTTTAGGAGTAGTTCAGCTATAGATTGTTACTGTTACTCTCTAGTGGTTGGTGGTTTTACTGTTTCTTTATTCTTGATTAAGTTCATGTAACTTGTGACAAGTGATAATTTTATCAGTTTAATATCAATTCAGTTCTCTTTTTTTATATTCCTCTTCATTTAATTTTCTCCAAAGAAGTCCTTAATCTATTTAAGGAATAGAACCCAACCACATTGCTTGATCTATTTTTGTTTTGTGAATATTTTAGTTTATCTGTCGATTGGCTTCTGTAGATCTCATTAAAACTAAATTTTTGCTAACAAGCGCATAATTGAGTTTCTGAATAAGAAATGTCACCCCAGGAGTTTCCTACTACTTACTGAACAAGTCATATCAAACTATCAAAAATGCAACACAAATCAAACTATAGTTGTAGAGTTGGGAGACTAGCTTCTAATGATCCATGAAGCCTAACACAAGACTTTGGCTGATTTAAATTTAGTTAGTTTTGTTTTGTGTGTGCGTGTGTGTGTGTGTGTGTTTTTTTCTATAGGTTAAATTAGTGTCCATTTTCATTAATTTTGGTTGTTTATGGATGTAACGTAATATTTATATATATAGAAAATAAAAAAAATAGTTTTGGTCGTAGCCCTACCGTGTCCGTATCTTCATTCTTTTGAAATCACTGTGTCCCATGTCCATATTCGTTTCTATGCCCATATTTCTTAGAATAAGGGCTAAACTAAATATACGGAATGTAATTTTAGAAATAATAGAAGTAGAAGTAGAAAAGAAGTTTAGATTAAAAAAAACCCTCGAGAGATACTAAAAAGTGAACAATTTTGTTATCTAGGTGTCAATTATTAATAGGTGGAGAAATGCTTTTGGCATTCAACAATAGATACTAACAAAATTAGAAAGAAGATTTTCTTGTTTTCTTTTTTCTTTTTTATAAAAGATCTATAAGGCCAACGAAACTTTACTTGATATGATATTGGACAACTATGAAATAACGCAATAATAAAATGAGTGTAGTTGAGATGATCATGCTAAGACAGATGTCTGGTCAGACTTGGAAAGATAGAATTAGAACTGACTATATTTGTGAAATAGTGGTAGCAACATCAATAAATTGGGAGAGAGCAAATTAAGATGGTTTGGTCATGTAAAATAAATATTGGTAAATGAAACAGTAAGGAAGAGTGATATGATTACTATAAATAAAAATGTTAGGGGAGGGTAAGGCTTAAATTGACATGAGATATTGTAGTCAAAAGGATATGAATTTATTTAATATAGCTGAGCGTATAGCCCTTGATAAAGTGGAATGATGGAAAATGATTTGTGTAGTGGACCGCAATTTATTGGGACACAATGCATGGTTTGGTTTATTAATGCGATTCTGTTTATCTATGCTTATATTATACATGCTTTGGCCTATTATGTGTCATTTTGTAAGCTATGGTTTCTTGTTCTTGTGTCGAATATCATATAGTGGATATTGAACTAGTAAGTGTATTTAGTTCTTTTGCTTTCTAAAGTTTGTTGTTTTTTACATGCCCTTTCAGGAGCGACTAGTCTTGTTCATGCTTTTGACGTAGATCTACACAATTGCCATTATGTTTATTTACTTAGAGATTTCAGTTTATTTACCTACATATTTCGGTTCTTAATGTGGCAGATCTCCTTGTTTGCTCTTTCATTCTGGAGTTTCCATTTTGCAAGTCTATGTGCATTTGGATTACTTGCATATGTTGGCTACATACTATACACCTTCCCTTCCTTGTTTCAATTGCACCGTTTGAACTGCTTGCTTCTTATTTTCATCCTCTTGTGGGCTGCCAGCACATATATCTTTAATGTGGCATTTACAGTTCTAAATAAAGAACTACAGAAGGTAAACCTCTCTTTCGATAGATGCACAAGCTCTTTATTATTTTGATTGAATTTTTTTGATTAGACCTTGTAACTTTTTTCCAGGACATGGATGTATGGGAAACTATTGGCTTATGGCATTACCCTATTCCTGGATTTTTCATATTTGCACAATTTTGTCTTGGAATTCTTGTTGCTATGAGTAACCTTGTGAACAGCTCTGTATTTCTATACTTGTCTGATGGGGATGCACAATCCACAAATGATAATTGCACAGTGGAAGGTGAGGAAATAACTTGTCTTTTCAACTGTAGAATTTGCAGCAGTCTGCATCACATCTTTGTACTTTATTTTTATGCAGTTTTATTTGTTGACACAACAATTCCTAGAAAATTTGGACTTGGACACAGAGCAGGTACATGGTGTCAAATATGTCGCTGTGTATTTTCTACATTTATTTGTTTAAAAATAAGTGGGAATAAAACATTTTAACATCTTACCCTAAAAGTATGGATATGAACATGACATGGATATAGACATGGGTATGGACATGGACATGGGACACAGTGATTTTGAAAATAATTAGGATACGGATACAATGAGGATATGACAAAAAAAGAAATATACACACATATATATGTTATTTTATTTGCTATATATATGAATATAAATTTAGAGCACAAATATGTAAGAAGATCAATCTAGATGCGGGTGTATTTATATTTTTACTTTCCACTTTTGTTTTCATAAATTTCACTTTGATCCCTAATCAACTATAAAAAATTATAAAAAATAAGAAACCATAGGACACGTGTCTTGTAAAAAATAATAATTAAAAAAATTGACACACAACATGTCTGACCCATGGACATGCGTTTCCTTGGTGTGTTGGTGTCCAATATGTTCCAAACATGGACATGCCACCTATTTTAAAGTGTGTGATCTTACTGTTAGAATGTGTCCCACATCGTCTAGAGTTGTCCCATCTGTGCTAGTTATAAGGCTCCAGTTTCCCTCTCCTTAACACTTGGGTTTTAAGAAGTGTAGGCTGGGCTTTTCAATTTGGTATCAGAGCTTGGTGTGTTGTAGTCCAGGAGGATGTGTTGGAATGTGTCCCACATTGCCTAGAGTTGTCCCATCTCTGCTAGTTATAAGGCTCCAATTTCCCTCTCCTTAACACCTGGGTTTTAAGGAGAGGAGAGAGAGGGGAGAGAGAGAAAGATCTGTATAATATTGAATATTGTGTTGAATAAATATGTAACAATATATACAAGACTCCTTTATATGGGAGGAGAGAAACCTAAGTATGGTAATCCTAAATATTGTAATGAATATAATATGGTATGTATGATAGAATATATAGTTACTAAATTTAACATGGTATCAAAGCTAGGTTAAGCACCTAGTAATTTTGCTTCACCGGTGGGCGGCAACCTTGTCTTGGCCGCTCGTCGGACCTCAACTCATTTCGTTGCCATATTTTCTTTTCAATATCGCTTTGTGGTGATTTCATCCTCTGTTCACTAGTTTATTCCTATCCCAAATATCTCATCATATTTTTTTTTTTATACTTGGAATCCATTATTTTTTCTTTTTGTGTGTATTTTTGCTCCACTTTGTCTTTCCCTCTGTTTCAACCTCAAATAGGTTTCTTCTATCTTCAAACCTATTTGAGTTTGAGGGGGGTATTATATCTATATCATGGTGAGCATGGTGATATACCATGTGAACCACTTAAGGCGCCCCCTTTGGCTCACAACCCAAGGCGCCCCCTTTGGCGCACCATCCAAGCCACCTCCTGGCTCACTTTCTAATAAGCCACCCCTTAGTGCACTTAGTCATCTGTTGCCATCATCGTTTAGCACCACGTCATAAGTTATGTATGTGCCACGCTTGCTGGTTCAACATCCAGTTCTTTACATTGGTCCAACATGACTCCTTTAAACTATCTCGACATTGATTCCAGTTAGTCTCTACAATGGTTCGTCATGACCCCTTAAACTGTCCCGACATTGATTCCGGTCAGTTCCTATAACGGTCCAGCATGACCTTGTAAACTATCCTGACATTGATTTCGGTTAATTCCTACAATGGTCCAGCATGACGTTAAACTGTCCCGGCATTAGTTCTGACCAGTTTCTACAATGGTCTGGCATGACCATAAACTGTTTCCCTGTCACACCCTAAATCCGAGCATGACCGGCCGTTGCCCACAGGGACTAAGCCCAAGGCACACGTATGCCTAAACACGAATCCAATATCACAAAGAATAAATGTAACGATAGTCTAGAAATAAACAAATCAAAATCCAATCCAGTGACATGTCACAAGTATAAATGGTAAAACCAGCCATAACCAACTTTCAAAAATATATACTAAAGGGAACAGAAACCGGCCACAAAATAAAATAATTCTAAATAAAATCCAACCACAATGTATGCACAAAACTGACATAACAAGCTAAAACAGAATAAATGAATGTCCTAGAGGCGCATGCAATTGAGTCCCCGCTACGCCATGAGTCCACTATGAGTCCTTCTATCACCTGGAAATGATAAACAACTAAGTCAGCTGATAGCTCAGTGAGTAGAAGCATGGATAGTAAATACAGTTTTGAAAAACAGGGTTCAATTCCAAAATAAGATATATATCACAGAAACTAGATTGGCATACAGTTTTGATAAAGACAATCTGTTTCAAAAAGAATGTTCAACAGTTCAATAGTTAAAACACTCATGTCTCTCAAGAATATTACAAATGACATTCTCCACTTAAAACAGATTACAACATGATCATCAATAATTTTCTGGGTACCAAGAATAACAAGTAACACGCTACAAAGTTCTCAAGGCAATAAGCCCGTTGGATCCAATATTGAACCAAAAGTCATCCTCAGGGTGGCAACCTGGACATTTTCTCTAAAGAAGATCTGATTGAAGGTCACCTAGCTTAGCCTAGGTCTTTTCCTTATAATGGTTGAGCACTAGAGTCATCACAGCCCAACCTGGATCTGTTCCCTAGTAGCTAGAGCCACCACATGCAGTGGAATAAATTCCCTGGAGTTTTATATACAGTTGGTCCCAATCATCAATACAATTCAGTTGCGCAGAATGTGGTAATTCACCATTATAAACATCAGAATATTTCAAACAGTTTACTGTATGCCAAGTTTACACATGTTTCAGAAATAATTTAATTCCATAAATAATATAATAATTTATTAAAACAGTTTAGTCCTGAAATAACAATTTAATTTCCCAACAGTTCAGGGTAGGAAAACATTTATAAAATATGTAGCATGCAACTACTCACTTGAAAACGAAGTAATATAATCTTCGAATAGAGTATGAAAGTCCAATTATTGCCTTGAACCAAGTATGAAAATTACACGTTACTACTAATTCAAAAATACTAAAAAGAATAATAAAGTACCCCATACTAAAGCGCACTAACACAGCTCAACCCCACTCACCGTTACTCTTAAATAATACCTAAGTTCATGTTCTTCAAGGTCTCAAATTACTCAAGACATGGGTTCAGATCGAAACTTAATTAAAAGTAACTTTAAGATAAAACAAAATTTTAAACAAGTTTTCCCAATTCACTCTCTAAATTTGAAAGTTAAAAACCCAGTCTACGCCGTTTGAAAAATTCCAAAACCCTCCAAATATCAACTAATATATCCTAAGCTTCAAACCCATATGGTTTTGTTCGATTTTCTTATCAAAATAATTAGTTATATCCAAACAGGTCGCTTTCTGCAGCACTTTAAAGAAATTGATGGTTCTCTTAATATACACTAGCAATCAATGGAAGGCCAAAAATGTAAGTAACTAGACTCGTAACCGGTTCTGATGATGTTGATTTGATAATTTTTAGATTTATACCCATAGAGAACGAGACTTCTAAAGTTACTGTTTGTACTAATTTTTTGGACAGATTTGAACGCATCGGTTTATGGATTTTGACTCCCAAAAATTATGAAAAAATTCTAATATGAAATTAAATATGTAATAAAGTCACAGTAAAAATTTCAGTTCAAAGTTCATTCATTTGATATGATTTCTTGATTTTTAAAGTTTGTGATTTTAGGACCAAGAATTTCCATCCACCATTGTAACCCAAAACTTCCCATCACCAACCCCTCGCTTCACACCTCCGTCCCTCACCCTTACACAACAATGACTTCAGCAACTCAATGATTACCATGGTCTTATTTAAAGAAAATAACATACATGTTTACATATAAAAATATTTACCTATACAACAGCTCCTATTCCTTCTTTAATTTCTTTCACAAATGACACCCTCTTCTCTCTCTTCGCTGTATCTCACGGCTGCTACTAGGGTAGTTTAGAAAAGAAACGATATCTCACCAACAGGGTTTAATCCTCTTATAATAAATTTTCAAAATGACCTTATTACTAACTATTTTATTTGTTTTATACTACTTCGCCTTATTAGTCAAAATAAAATAACATTATTTGATAAATTATATTTAGTACATTTTTTTACATATATTATTAAAACCTTATATTTTCATTATAGACCTGCATTATAAATTTATTTAAAGCTTAAACTTAATTAAAATACACTCCAATAATATTTAATTGGCACTTTCATATTCACAAGCAAAATATTTGAGGTCGTAAAATTATTAATGCTTTTATTATTTATTTTTTGGGTTCTCACACTCCCGGTATTAGCTCCTACCTCTAATCTATCTCAAGCACCCCTGTGCACCCATCTAAACTTTGCAATCTATTTGTCTCGGATCTATCCATATTTTATTTTATTTTTAGTTTTATTTGATGTTTTAGTTTCTCTCGCCAAACTCAAGTTGGTATCCCTACTTGAGTCTGAGGAAGTGTGTTAATATAGCAACTATATATTCTATCTATCATACGTCTCATATTATATTCATTACCATATTTAGGATTACCATACTTAGGTTTCTCTCCTCATTTATAAAGGAGTCTTGTATATATTGTTGCATAATTATTCAACACAATATTCAATATAGTACAAATCTCTCTCTCTCTCTTTCTCTCGTTTAGATATTCTAACACTTACCACCTATTTTGAAGTGTTTGTGATCTTACCTTTTAAGTTAAATTTATTAGGAATGGGAAGAAGAAGAACGAGAGGCAGTGTATGGTAAATGAACAAGAGAATTAGAATTAGGGTTCTCTCCCTTATCCTCTTGTATTTATATTAATTTAGTTCAAAGTATAAATATATCCTGTTAAAATAGTATATTATTAGTTGGGTTATTATTATTAT